TTTAGTCACCGAAAGTTTTGTACGAAACCTTTTGAGGGTTTCGTATTGTTTTCCTAAATGGTTCGGTACGCTGCAAAAAAAATTTGTATGATTACGGAACCATTTAGGAAGACAATACGAAACCCTCAAAAGGTTTCGTACAAAACTTTGGGTGACTAAAATTGATTGTCATTGACTCAGGACACTTTTTCAAGTTTTTCGAAGTGATCTGTACCGAACCTAAAATGGTTCAGAGAATTGCAACGAATTCGAAACCTTTTTAGGTTCCGTACTATGTACGAAACCTTTTTTTTCGTTCAAAATACTTTTTTTGGTTCGTTATCGTACCATTTTTTTTCCAGTGTAGATTCTAGCCTTTCAGTCTAGGGAATATAAAAGGATTTATAATTATAATCTTATATTTTACGGAAATTTTTATATAATATATTAGTGTAAGTGAGCTAAGAAATATTGAGATAAAGTTTAAATATACAACTTTTAATGAAAGATTATATTTATTACGTTATATGAATGAAATCACTGTCTATTTTATTAGTAGTTGCAAAAATATTCCTATGAATATTGATAGAATAATTTTTAAAAAAATATATAAATTATAATGAAGATTATCACATTGTGTCAAATTGATTTATTTAATTAATACATATTTTATAAATATTGATGTAAAAGTTATATCGTGCAAACTTTAACGAAGATGTATATTTGTTTTAATTTACAAATACAAATACTTATGTTTGAATTTTATTAGAATGTTAACAAAATTCCTAAATATAGATAAATTTAGAAATATAGTTCTTCATTTTATTAAAATTAATATATAAGCTAAAATGTGCAACTTATCATGAATAATTCTATCTGTTGCAATCGATTACTTGAATTGGTCTAGAGTCATTATTATCTCCTGAGATATTCTTTCATAAGTTTACATCGAGAAGATTTGATGCAAGTGCAAATAAAAAATGGTCACTGATGGTGAGTACAACCGAATATCATCGGACAATGATAATAATGAAGATTAAAGATTACATTGTTTCATGATGCATTATTCCAGTAAAAATCGTTTCTTAAAACAACTTTCTGTTGTTTAAAATTTTATTGTTGTTTAATTATTTCTCTTCTCTGGTTTTGTAGCAAACAATTGCATTGTCTTTTTATTTTTTTGTTTTTTTTCCTTTTTCTTGTCTGTCCCTCGTTATCTTTTTCTTCTCCTTCTCTTCTTCTTATCTTTTATTTTGATCGGATAATTGTTTTTTGTACGTATGTTATCATTATTATATTCTTGTTGATGTATCATGTGCCTGAACATCGAATGCAGAGCCCTGATGAGTGTTTGAATGTTTCAATAAATAACATGAAACGCGTTGGCAAATTAAAATCTGCATTCCTTTAAAATTAAGTCTTTTGGCACAAATCACAAATAATAAAAAATTTTTATTTTTATTTTTCCAAATCTCGACAAAATAATCGATTGCTGAAAAGCAAACGTGGAGTACAAGCAGATTGTATTTATCTTTTCTTCAAGATAGATAGGTCAGTCTGTTTTTCGATTGATCTCTCTTTGAACGAAGTGATTGTGCTTGGAATGTAAGTAAATATCGTGTCTTTCATTTGTACCTTTTAATGATGACCATGGTAGATTTGTGATTTAGCTGAGGCTCATTGAATACATTTAATCTGTACGATGGCTGGAACTTAAGACGATGAACAACAGAGAATCGTCGATCGAATAAAGTGCGTTGCTTTCCTTGAAGCTCATGATGCTGGTGCAGCATTTATCACTCGACAATGGATCGCAGATAATATCCATCGTTCGATCCGGTTTGTTACTCAATGGTGGGAGAAAGCATACAATGAATGCTTTGTTGATTATTCTGAATGTGGTCACAACCTCAAATTATCGCAGGATAGTCAGAACATCATTGTCAATGCGAGTGGCAAGCAAAAAAAAGTTCTTCCGTTGCGGCAAGAGAAATTGCAGAGAGACAAAAAGAGTATATTACGCAAAGCACAATCGATAACTATCGACATAGGATGGGACTGAAGCCTTTCCACGTTATTCAAAAACCATTGAAAACAGAAACTCATATCTCCGATCGTCTACTGCTATGCGACTGGTTGACGAACTGGACTCAGTAGGACTTCTTACACCTTGCACTAGCTGATGAATTTTTTGTTTGGAGCATTCGCAAGCCAAATCATCAAAATGACAGGATTTAGGCTAAATCTATCGAAGATATTGAAGAGGACGAAAGATATCGCGAAATGGTACAAAATCAAGCATGCATCGATATTTTCATTATTTTTACCGCGAAGAAATTGCATTGGGTAATCAAAGATAAAGGAGAATCCTGGACAAGTCAATACTTTCGTGAAACAATTTTGGTCCGAAACGTCTTTCCTTTCCTCAAAAATGACGAAAACGTCATTGACGTGGATGAAATAACATTTGTTCATGACAAAGCCCCATGCATGAAAGCAAATATGACCCAGCAATTGATCCAAGACAACGATATCAATTTTTGGGGTAACAATATATGACCCGGAAATTCACCTGATCTCAATGCAACTGAACACATTGGATCAATACTGAAGGATGACGTCGAGACAAGAATGTTATCTGAGACCGAACATGATCGCCATCGTGAAGAAACATTGAAACATCACATATACGATGTCTTAGAAAGTATGGAAACAAATACTGAACTTTTTGAAAACCTGTTATGATCCTATCCATCTCGATTACAGGCTATCAAAAAAGCTAACGGTCGGCATACAGATTATTGATTATTTGTACGAACTTTATAAAAAATAAACATTGGTTTGATATATCCATCATTCTTTAACTGTTTTCACTCAGAATTTTACCTTTGGAATAGCATTTTATTAGTTGCAGATTCTTCAAATTTTCTGAAGTTCCATAGTTCTACAAGTCGTCACCCTCTTATGGAAAATCAAAATATACTCCTAAACCCCATTTTTGACGGGCTTTCATTTGGTATAAAATTTATTGTTCATATCACTATTCGTTAGGGCTGTACCCCCCTGGAAAAACATTTTTGGCAGCCCTGTAGTTGCTAAGAAGAAAAAATAAAAAAACACTTTTTTATTCTTTTCTATATCTATTATCAATAAATGATGTTATTATTATATTAAGAATAAAAGATATTCTATTGATTCAAATTTTTCCTCTTGAATATTTTTCTATTCATTTTTTTTCTTTCAATATTCGCCGTTTCACATTTTCGTTCTGTTTCTTTCTATATTTTTCCCTTCGATATTTTTCCTGTCGACATTTTTTCTTTCGACATTTTTCTCTCGACATTTCTCCTTTCAACATTTTCGTACTTTTTCTTTCGACATTTTTCTCTCGACATTTCTCCTTTCAACATTTTCGTACTTTTTCTTTCGACATTTTTCCTCTTCAATATTTTTTCATTCGGCATTATTACGGCGGCCCGGTGGAGAATCATCAATACCGATGGAAGATGAAATATCAATATCAGCCATTTCATCAAATCGACAACTGAAATATTAACACTTGAGTTTAACGAAAAAAACAAAGATTGTAACAATTAATAAAACAGATCTGGATAATAATCGATTATACAACTTTCACCAACAATTAATAATAAATATCTAAATAATAATCATTAAAAAATATCTAAATAATAATCATTAAAAAATATCTAAATAATAATCAATAATAAAATTTTTACCAATAATCAATAAGATCTTGACAATAATCGATAATACGACTTTCACCAACAATCAATAATAAATATCTAAACAATAATAAATGAGAAAGATTTTAACAATAATCAGTAATAATAAAGAAGACAAATGAGAAGATAAAGAACGAATAGATAAACAAGATGAACTATGCAAATCAAGCTGAAGATTAGTCATCATTTTGATCAATTACAATGAAGACAACATTATTCTACACTACACCTGATTGTTAGCACCATCTTCAATTTGTTAAAAAAACATTTTATCGAAAAGACAATTATATATGTAAAGGATATAGACAGGCCAGGCAGCCTTTTTTTTTAGCGGCCTGCCTGGCCTAGATGAGGGTTCGGCCTAGCATCAACAACGTGGCCTGTGCCTGTGACAGGCAGGCAGACAGACCTACTGGTCTGGTTGGATCTCTAATACGCATGTATTTTGATTTGCGTCGATAGATTATCTTTTTCTGTTTGATGAATCGAAAAGAAAAAAAAACAGAAGACGATTAAAAGAATTAGTAATCTATCCAAGGTAAGGAAAAATCTCACAGACAACAAGGTAACATAATGGTTATCTCCATTGATATAAATATTCTTCATTTCGTCTAGGGATTCTGTTTATTTTTTCGACGATTAGAAGCAATAAACTACATAAAAATAATGTATAATCAGAAGAAGTGAAGAAAAATGTGTCGTTGCGAGTATAATTGTGTCCGGCATACCTTTGATAATAAGTATATATTTTGATTCGCGTCGATAAATTATCTTGTTTTGTGTGAAGAAAAGAAAACAAAAAAAACAAGAGATGATTAAAAGCATGAATAATTTATCAAACGTTAAACAAATCTCAAGGAGAACAAAAGGAGTTAGGACTTACCTCCAATGATATGAATGTTCTTCTTTTTTTTCATTGGTTCTGCTTATCTGTTGCAACTGGAGAAACCATAACTAGAATGAAAATAATGTATAATCTGAAGAAGTGAAGAAAAATGTCTCATTGAGAGTAAGATTGTGTCCTGCATATCTTTGGTAATACGTATGTATTGTGATTTGCGTCGATAAATTATCTTGTTTGTGTGAAGAAAAGAAAAG